AAAAAAGTTTCTCTCACATCTTGTTAGGTATGTTATAGATCTCTGTCTGTTTTTGGTTCTTTTGCTAGTCTGACTGAGAAGGATGCCCTTGTCACATCACTACAAGAGGAGCTGAGAGAAGTGAGAGAAAAGGCGACCATTGATGCAGTAAGGCTGCCTTTACACACTAGTGGCTTTTCAATTGGGGCTGCTTTGCACTTAATCACCTTCCTGATTATGTCATCCATTGTTTTTGCAGAACGCTGTAGCAAAACTGACAGCTTTTCAAACTGAAACCAAAGAAAATCTCCAGACACTCTTCCCACAGATACCTGTCGAGACAGAGCAGGTAGGAAAATGGAATTTCACAAGAGGAGTCGCTCAGTTTTATTCTGATGATTTTTCATTATTCTGTGCAATTAATTTATTTATGTCTGCTTTTCTCCTCACTTAGTCCAACTGGTTACAAGTATTCACACAGAAAGCTCAGGAGGCTCTCAGCCAGCAGAGCCAGGAGTCTCAGTCAAACACAGCAGCATTACCTGTAAGCCACAGTTTTATTCTGTTAACCATGTACTGGTTTGAATTACCTCAGCAGAAGTTCTGAATGTGTTTTCTTTGTTTCAGGAGTTGCTGGAGAAACTGAAGGAGGCTGAGGAGAGCCATGGCTCACTGCAGACTGAATGTGACCAGTACAGGACAGTCCTGGCTGAAACCGTAAGTAACTGACATTAATGTGCATGTATATATTGTTTTTTTTAATGTAAGTTGTGTTATTTATGGATTCAGTTTATACATCTTATTTAATGCTGTTTCCTTTCTTTTAGGAAGGAATGCTGAAACATCTGCAGAATAGTGTGGAGGAAGAAGAGCTAGTATGGAAAGCCAAGATGGCTAACACAGAGGAACAGCTGAGGGTGGTAGGTTATAATGCTTCCTTGAAATCACTGACTCAGACATTTATTTTTTTTTTCACCATATGTGGGTCTCACTTCCTTATTTTTAAAACATTACCAGGCTTTGGAGAAGGCCAGCAAACTGGAGGCAGAAAACCAAAGTGTGGAACAGGTAGGGATTTTTTTCCACATTCACTTGAGGGTAAGCTAGCAGGTTAGAAATACGTGCTGCCATTTTAAAACTGTTTTATTTTGGTTCTCTCTGCAGTTGAAGGAGCAGATGATGCTTATGGAAGCTCAGCTGGAGAAGCAATCAGACAACCAGGAGGCCTCAGAGGAGATGGAGCAGGTACACGAGCAGGTTCAAATCTACAGATCACAGCAACCTCACTGGAAATGACACTGCGGTTAAAGGATTTGTTGTATTTGTATGTGCAAGTTCCTCTTTATGGAGGCAAATTTGTATATTTTTTGCATTTTAAATTGTATTTGTGCATTCAAAAAACATTTCTATATAGAAAGTATTTTATATAATTGTATTTATTATAATATTTTAACATTACAATCAAGTGCCATGTCTTTTTTTTTTGTACTTTGGGTTATATTCTTGGTTAGTTTTTCAGATAAATGTCCAGATTTAGACATTTCAGGGCAAATTTACCTTTTTTAAAATGACATTTAATTTGATTTTTGTATCAATTTGAATAATAAAATATTAGTAGAAAAAGTGGTCAATGTAAAGGATTTGCAACCCATACCTGATATAACACTCTGTATGTGTGAGGTTTTTTTTATTGAAGTTGACATATAAACGTTATTCATATCATATTTAAAGGTATCAACCTCCTGTGGTGCATTTTTAAAACTAAACCTTTCTGACATCTGTTCATTTCTGTGCTGTTCTCTGTATTCAGCTGAAGCTGCAGCTGTCAGAGTGTCAGAGCCAGCTGGATGTGGCCCAGAAGGAGGCCCAGGCACACAAGGAGGAGCTTGAACAGGTGACCTTACTGACTTAACCTGCTTTCCCATCTTCCAGACAATACTTACACATTTGCATACCAGTCTAACTGAGGCGAGAGGGAGACACGTTACTTATGAGATGTCACATGTCAAGGAATTTGTGCAAATCCCTCATTGTGCACGTTATGTACGCAAACCAACAAGGTAGGATGTCAGTGACGTGTGACACAAAGGGAATTCATCGATGGGAGGTTTATGTAACCGGTGATTATCGATGACTTCATGTTTCAGGTCAGAGAGCAGCTGGGCGAGATCACGATGCGGGCTCAACAAGAACAGAATGGCCCCACTGACGCCCAACCCAGTCAGGTCAGGGTGCAACGGTCACAGGGCACCCTTCACTCCCTGTCAGAGAGTACTGGACAGTGACTAGGACACTTCCCATTTCTTATTTATTTATTTGGATCACTTCTCTAATGAGCCTGGTTCAATTTCAGAGAAAATCCCTAAAAATAAATGTGTTACTGATGCCCTAAAAGAGGATGTGGCCTAAGTACACGGATACTGGGTAACCAATGACACGGATAAAGAAGTGCTGTATTTCCAGTCTGTCCAGTACTCTTCTGACACAGCAGCTGTTTATGCTAACCACTGTTTGCATTGACTGAGTGGACATGACTCTAACCACCTTTCTCACCTTTTCGGCATGCTCACTTATCCTCCTTTTTTGTTTTTTCAGATATTTTTTTTTTTTATGTTAGCAGCAGATTTTTTGAGTTTTTGTTTAACCTTTCGCCTAAAATAGTCTTGAGAGGCAACTAACTTGGCACACAGGTCGAGCAGCTTTTGTGTGTGTGGGTGTGTAGTGCTGCAGCTTTGGCACAAGAATGTTTGCATACAACCATGTATGTGTTAGCCATTTGTCTGTGTGTATATTTATTGTGTGTGTGTCATTTTTTTTGTCTGCCATCAGGTCCAGAACGAGTTGAGTCAGACAGCTGAGAAGCTGCACGGGGAGGTGGCTCAGAGGCAGCAGCTCTCAGAAGAGTTTGAGCAGGTAGCAGCCTTTGTCGATGCGCTTCTTTTTTTTTTTTTAGTCCTTGTCACACCAGAGGGTGACTAATAAACTCTCAGTGCATAACACAATTGTCTTTGTGTGCTGTCAACTTCCAGGCCCAGAAGACTATAACAGAACTTCAGGCTCAGCTGGTTTCTGCAGAATCACCACAAGCTGACACAGAAGATGTTGCTCAGCTTAAGGTGCGGGAACGAACGACACCCAGAATCCAAATGTGATTTATGCTGTCAGCTATGGGTCTTTGATGTCACTAAAGCACTCTTTCACACTTGATTTATGAAGCCGCAATAACCATGAATTCTTGCAACAATTAAAGTGTTTTTTGTTTTTTTTTTAAAGCTCATTCTTAGTATCATCTTGCTTGATTTTACAATAGAGTTTCATTTGCAGGTTAATTTAATTTAATTTAATTTAATTTAATAAAATAAAAGATGTTTCTTATTTCAAAAAGTCTGTTTTTACCTCACACCATTTTTGACAGTGATTATTTTATAATGCCACTTGGCTGTTACTTCCCGTTTGAATGACTGGACTCTCATTTACATCACTGACTCTTCCCTGTTTGTGTTGATTGTCAGATAAAGACATAGTGATGGAAAGTGATATAATGAAATGGAAAGGTCACTGGGGAAAGATTGTGCTGTGAAATGAACATCTTTGGTAAAGAAATTTCAATGACCTGCAGTGAATTTATTTATCAGGAAGAGGTAACATTTAATTAATGAGCTGAGTTTTAAATTTTTACCGAATTATTTCACAACTTTATGGTTACAGGATGCATTTTGTATTCACATAACACCTTATTTGATATTAAACACTTTGGGCCTCCATCATTTTTTCTCTGTGCTTTTGAAGTAATGTTTGCCACTGCTGTCTGAACAGGAGCGCCTAGATAAGGAGAAGAAGCTGTCCAAAGACCTGGGCCAGGCAGCCACTAAGCTCCAGCAGCTTCTCAAAGCCACTCAGGAGCAGCTGACCAAAGAGAGAGACACCGTGAGAACACTACAGGAGCACCTGGAGGGCAAGGTGAGACGGCCGTCATGGTGAAACTACACGTACACACTTCTCCATTCAAACTGTTTTTAGTAATACTTTTTCTACAATTTTTAATCTTTTTCCTTATCTCTGTTTTCTAGGAAGAATACGTGGAGCTGAAGGAAGGAACGTCCGTCTGAGAGGAAGTTTACCGCAGACACTACAAAAAAAAGCCAAATATGCCTTATGATTACCTTAGTTATGCATTCCAAAACTATTTCTTTCTTGTACTGTAGTTGATTGCATTTGTTGCAACTGTAGGAATCAAATGTTTTGATATTATGAACATTTCAAAGTAAGATTAGAGGAGCGAATCCTGCTACAATCTTTATTGAAACCCACATTCCATCAACAATTCTGGCTATGTCAGAAGTTATTTATCCCCCCTGCCTTATATTTCAAAAGATTCCCCATAGTTCAGTGTTAAAAAGGGAAACCGATTGTACGTCAGACGTACATCAACCTGTGCAATTACTTTGTATGTCTTTTCTATGTGGTTGAGTGATGGGAACATTTTATGGTTCAATGTTTCACTACCTTTTAGAGCCTGCTTTCCTCTGTAGCTGGCTGCCAATAACACACATCGAATTTGTATGAATGAATAAACTACAGTGTAGCTCTATGTAATTCCTCTAATGTGTCTGTGTCGCAGTTGTTATTGTTGTTAAGGTGCAGAAAGTAAGGAGTAAGAGTTGGCTACTTTGAGTTTATTGACATGGTTTCACATCCTGTGAGCAGCAAATATGTACATCAGCCTCATGACACTAAAACGTTAACACCCTGGCTATACTGTTATTTTAAGACTTAAACCACCAAGATTTTTAAAAAAGAAGCTGTTTGCAAAACCCTGTCACAACTCAGCTGCATAGAGGACAGTTTCTGACAGGAAGTATTATTACACAGCAACATCCTGACACTATATCATCATACAGCAAAATGGAGGGTTATAATTTCTCCCCATAGCACACACTGTGTGCTCCAATCTCTCTATCCTTTATAAACATGACTAGTGTTTTCTAAAGCTTGTAAGTGTGGCCTTGTTTCGCTTTAAGCTTTACACACAGTAGGGTTCAGGTTGCATCAGTGGTTTACAGGCACAAGGAAGTATATTGCAAGATGGAGCTTGTTTGTGGGCTTTTTCAACAACCATGTATGGTTGTGTTTCGGTCATGATCTCTCGTTGTCTCACCCTCGATCCTCCCCCTTCAGCACACCCACACTACTGTCTTTCTTTAAAGACTGGTGAGAAAAAAAGCGGAAATTGAAACTTAACTTCATTGAGTCCTTGTGTCATTGTACACTCAGCTTTTCATGTGCCATAGAAATGGATGAGCAGTTGATCCGTGGGGAGTGTTCAGCAAAGCAAAAGCTGCAAATATGCTCACTAGTTAAACAGCAATAGCACCAAAGTCACCAAATAAATGTTGAACAGTCTGGTTATAAGCAACACAAATCATGAAAGCAATAGTTAGGTACTCATTATCTTTCTTTCTGCAAGTTAGATTAATAGATTAATATCAGTTTCATGCATTAAATGAAAGTAGAGCCAGCAGCCAGTAAACTAAGCTCTAAGCATGAGGATGAAGTAACAGAGTGGTGGCAAAATCCAACTACCAGCACACCTTAAGTCCACTAATTAATGCACTAATGTTGTGTTTTTTTATCAATACAAACATACAAGTGTAACCAGTTGCTGTTTCTCAGGGGTTAAGCCTATAGCCAGTAACTTCTCTTCTTCGTCTCTGTTGGTTGCCTGGCAACAGGATTTTGCTGCCTTTGGGCAGAGCCAGGCTCGCTGTTTTGTCCTTCCAGTCTGACCTAAAGCTCACTGGCTGCTGTCTACATATTTAACATTATGAGTGTACTAATCTTCTCTTCTGATTCTCACACAGAGAGTGACTAAGTGTATTTCACAAAGAGTCAATAAGGGTTGTTTTGCAAGTATAGAATAAGGAGTATATTATGTGTGAAGGTGTGACCAACAAAGGAAGATAATTGCCTGATTCACCTTGTGGTCCTTAGAGCTGCAGTGATGGATTATGAATGAAGAGTATTAAATGAGTGAAAAAATGATCACATACACAAGTATATTACAGATAGCATCAGTTGCAGTGCTTGGTTTAATTCCAGCTACACTTTAACTTGGCATAAGCCCAGTTTGATCTGGCCTCCCAAGTCTGACCACAGGCTTTGTGAAGGGGAAAGATTTTCCTTGGATACATCCAGGTGCTAAGACCAACCCCAGCTAAATGCTAATCATAGCCTTCACCCATACTCGCTTTTTTCAAAATGGTCCATTTTCACCTAATAAGTAGACACAAACATGGGTTGTAGTGGAAATGTTTTATGTGTGAACAGTGTGAACAGTTATTATAACTCTGCCAAATCAGCTAGCTATAAGTAAATCATATCCATATTTTATAAAAGGTGAAAAAGAAATAAAACAGCACACACGTAACATTGGCTGCATTACATTTATTTGACAATACTCAGTGCAACAACGTTGCATTTTCAGTTAAACTTTCTTTGTACTATTCTTTGTGTCCATAAAAGTGTAACAGTCAAGAAAAAACAAAAAACAAAACATGTTTCAACATGTCATCAGTAACCAATCTGTAAAGGAATACCGATGGTGTATACTGGAGTATAGCGGAATTCAAACACTATGCATGTGCATAAAAACACCTTTGAGAAATATAAATGTGTCAATAGTTTTATTTTATATGTATAGATACATCCGAGTATGAATAAAATTACATCTGGACAAAACTGATTTCAACCAGACTGGTGTAATTGGTTAGTTTATTAGGGCATCAGGAGGTCTGTGTTACAGGATCTAATCCCATCAGGAGCCCAACGCTTCTCTTCGAGCTTTATTGAACCAATCCAAAAAAGAAAATATGAAGTCGATTTGGAAATTTTGCCATTTGCCTTTGTAATCCCTTTAAATTGACCTTGTTTTGAAACAGCAGGGTGGGGGGGCAGGCTGTTTAACTTTGTCCTGTGGGGTGCATAGGATGGCCCTCGAGTTTGACTATGTTTTTTCCCAGTTTGTCTGCGAAAATATCCCTGGTGCTGCAATCTGCAAAGTCATTCAACTGCAGATCGTGTTTCAAGCCTGTTGAAAACATAGAAGAGGGAACACGATGTCATTTCATATATAAAAAAGGTTATCAATGTCTTGGAAAGTGTAATGTAAACTTAATGGAAAAAAAAACAACTTACCTGGCATGGCTTTCTTAAGAGCCTCTTTTGAGCTAGCGTAGTTCATTTTCTCTTTGATGCGTGCACTGTCAGGACACCTGATAGGAAGAGAAATCATTATCCTAATTGTTTCACAACTTAAGTATTCTCTCTCTCTCTCTCTCACACACACACGTATCCTCAGAATAAAATTAGCTCTTAAAACACATGTAAGAATTTTACCACAACTCTACTGCTAGTCATCCTCTACAGTCTACAGTCAGTTGAGGAAAATTACATTTAAGAAGAGTTTTTATGCCTCAGTTGCAATGCAAGGACCTACCACAGCGCAAAGACCAGTTCTTCCTTTACACTTGCTTCCTTGGTTTCAAAGTGGCAGTCATACAATATATAGCGGCACTTTTTAGGTTCCAGCAGACTCTGGTAAAACTTGAAGACATCCTTGCCCTCCAGATCTTTTTCGAGGTACTTTTCCTCCACGTCAATGTTATCATCAATGAAGCCAAATACTACAATTCTTATACGTTCATTCTGATCAGCATCATTTTTCACAAGTTTCATATCATTGTAGAGTCCCTTCACTCTGTCAGCGACTTTCACTCCAGATGCCTGTTTTTTTGAGAAAACACAAAACATTACATGTCAGTATTTAGTTCAAGAAGCCATCGTCTGCAACTTCTTTTGTTGACATGATGACATTTTATCAGATGTACTCTTTGAAAGGTATTAACCCAAGGAGGTCACAGGTAATGTTTGTGAGCTAATAAATTCAAAATCTACCTTGTATCTAATGTTCCACTCATTTATATTACATAATAACTTATGACCAGACCATAAGAAAAAACACAAAAAATTTTTTTTTGTTACAAATGCTCTTGTAACTTAGCCACTTAAATTTTCCAGCTGTATAAGTTTTTGTATTTTGAATGACAATACGAATCATATGTTTTAAGAGTAAATGGCCGATTCTTTTTTCTTTTAAAAGTGACAAAGCAGCTGTATGCATTTCCGCAAAGATAAGAGTTTAGCACCAAGTCTAATTGGCCAGTTAAATGTATACATTTGTGTAAAAATCAGAGACTGATAAAAGACCATCACAGTGTATGCACTTTGGTGAATTTGGGCCTTACAGTTGCTCATATTTGAGCAGATGTTTGTTCACTTGTACTTTGGTGTCAAAAACCCAGAAAGCAGAACTAAAAAAAAAAGGAAGAAACAGGAAGTTCTTCAAAACTAGACATTGGAGAGAAGTGTTGAAGCTGTTTAAGATGTTCAATGTGCAAATACTCTACCAGCCTTTTAGCAGTAACATGCCGTGGGTGTAGCCTGCTCTATGAATTTTCAAGGCTTTGGCTCTGTCACATTCCAGTCATTGTGGAACAAGTTAGCACAAGAAAGACCGCCCCAAGGGATTCTCTCAGAACAAGTTTGAAGCACGAACAAAGCTCCCTCCATTTTGGAGGCAAAACCACACCTTGAACAAGCCCTTTCAAACACTAAACTCTCTCTTCACTCAGCAAACCATTTCCTCAAGGAAACAACACATGAAAATGTCACACACATATTCACACATTGCCAACCAGGCTTCACTCAGTTTACCCATTTTTTTTACATATATTATTAAAATGAGGATATGGCACTGCAAAGTTTAATCAGTTCTAGATGACATGTCCTGCAGGGCGCACAAATCACAAAAAGTTGTTAACTGACAGTGCACAGTCAATCCAAAGCAAAGAAATCTTTAGGAAAGTTACTCACCATTTTTGCTTCTGATGTGTGAAGGAAGCAGGCAGCAGAGAAAAATGGCAGCAGCAGTCAAAATGCTGAAGGGTAATAAGGAAGGAGAGCAGGTTGACTCATAGAGGAGGAGCCGGGGTAAATGAGCACACCTCCAAAAGTAGGCCCACCCACCTCTTCCCAGGTGTGACACAGCTTGTCCTGCAACCTCAACATTTGAATTTAATCACATTACATTTGAAGCCTAAATCACAATGGATAGATGGGCTTCATTGTCTGGCACAATGCGCACATTTTGTCAACCTTTTCCATCTTTTTACCTTTGCCGGAGATAGAGGTCTTAATTTCGAGGTAAAATTCCAGGTGAGCAGTATACAATACAGTCATGGGTGGGAGCGGCACATAACACCCTTATATGGAGAACAAACCTGTCCACATTTTTAACTCATCTGCTGCTGAGATGCAGTTCGGTGGCCTTATAAGGTAAAAGGTAGGATGAGTGCACAGATGTGTCAAAAGTATTTATCTATCTACCTATGAGGTGAGATGTTACACCTCCATCGTATTCCAATAGTTATAGTCAGTGTACAAAAACATGATTAATGTCAATACAATCTTATACCAAACACAGGATTGTATACATTTTGATATGATTCACGTGAAAACTGATGAGTGCAGTTTATATGATTCATAAAAAGTGACTGTGGTGCACTTAAAAAAGTAGAATGAAGACTCAGTGCCAGGCCTGTTTTTCTCACAGTCACATAAAAAAAAAGAGTGTAATTGTTGGCATGTTGGTGCAAGGCTATTGGAAAACTACATCGAAGAGCGAATAGGAAAAAATCCAAAACCAGAATCAATGACAGAAACTGATTTAAACAGGGCCTCTTGAAGATATGTATGATAAGTCTGCGTCTGTCTTTAGGATAATAAAGTTTGGAACTTTTCTGGAAAGTCCAAGGGTGTAGCTAACTAGGGATTAGGGGCTCAGTTCACAGGCGAGGAACCTTGGCCCCCTGCCACTTTCCTCCGATCCTACAGTACATCTACTGAAGTACTGCGCTTAAACACAATTTTAAAGGTACTATTCTGAGTATTAACATTTTCTGTTGGTTTATACATCTCCTCCAGAGCAGTTCTGAAGCAAATATTGTGCTTTATACTCCTCATCTAAACAAGAAGTGAATAAGTGATGCCATTCTCTCTCTCTCTGTTAATTTTTAATATTTGTTGTACATAACTTTAAATAGCTACATTACAATAAGGCAGATAGATGTGAAAACGTTTGAGTGAAGATTTTAGAATATGTGGGGATCACACATCACACACATAAAAGGGATTTTCTCAGCACTCTTGAGGGAACAAAATGTGAAATCTAAAATGTGCAATGTAAATGCTGCTGTCTGCTGGAGGCACCAAATGAGGAATACAACAACTACCAATGACAAAAAAAGTTATTTCTTGTGTCAGCTATTAACTGTTTTTTTTGTTTTTGGCAAACAAAATAATAACATCTTCATCTTTTTTTCTTTTTTTAGATGATACACATAGTTTAGCTCCTTTTGATGGATACTTTTGGGTATAATAAACCCTTCCTCCACAGTGACTATTTTTAAATGTAGATACTCTGCTTCAGCGTCACAGTGGCTTTGGTTCCTCTGTGTGGATTAGTGGTTTAAAGTCAGTCAGAGAGCCCCGCCCCACATCCGCACCAGCTTCTGTTCCAAAAAAGCAGGCTGCCTGAATGCACGTGTCACGGCTTGCCTGCTAACATTTGAATTGCAAGCACAGGAATCTGTGACTTGTAAAGAAAATTAGAAATATCTCATTCATGTCAAATAGCTGACAATCTGTTTAACAGAAGTAGTGAAATAGTTAGCTACAGAAAGCTCTCTTTTGGTGGCTTGAGGGTGTTTTTTTTTTTTTAGGTTTATAATCATAACTGTGGTAAGGCCTGCCCTACCAGACCTAATGGAAGCCTGCAGCAACCTTTCAGGGTAGTAAAAGGGGAAATACAACCCTGAACCACACAGAGCAGGAAATGGCTGCTGCATAACTCTCTGTCAGTTGAAAACTTCATGCTGCTGCAAGCACATTGCAAGTTTGGCCATAACCCATTCAGTGACGTCAAAGCAGCAAACCCAAATCTGTGAGAACTCTGACATCTACTGGTAACTTACAGGCACTGAACTGTTACCTAATGTTAGATGTGATGTCTGAATCACTCTGTGGAGAGTGACACCATTACATTTACATTTGTGTTACATTTGTGCATCATAAAAAAGTCTTGAGGAAAAAGAATGAATAGGAAAATAAATTCCAAAATATCAATTTTACTTTGAAAAGAAAGGATTCATATTTAGGTCGACCGCTGTTTTCTCTGTTTTGGAAAAAGACAGAAATAATTGTACATATATTTAATTAATATGCACATATTTTAGATTTCCACAGACAGTTCCACTTACTGACTACTTACTATAGCCTCCTTGAACTCATTGAGATTTTTATGAACAAAATCCCAACGTACCTTTAATTGAAATATCTTATAATATTGACAAATCTTTAATTTATTTTTTACTCGTTATTATGTCTCTCTTTCTCAATATGCATATTATAAACATTTCCATTTAGTTCATTATCACTATTATTGTTATTATCATTATCATTGATCTTCTTATTGTTACTGATAATAATAATTATAGCAAGTGTTATTATTATTATGACTATTTTTATATGTTTATTATTATTGTTATATAATATGGTTATTTATTAATATTATATAGAGACAAATATATAAATTATTATTATCCCAAACTAACAATACAAATGTGTCATAACAATTCCCCCCCGGAACACACATTTTAACTGCATTAAAAATTACATTTATCATGACTTTCCTCATCTTTTTCGTATTATGTACCAAAATAGGTTATTACTTGTTTTCTTGCCTTTGTGTATTTTATTCCTGTTTATCATATCATATCAACCTTTTTTTTAAAAAGAAAGAAAGAAATATCTTTTAAAAGCTTTCCTCTTGCATTTTACAATATGCTTAAGTTTATATAATTCAGATACAATGATTAGTGGGTAGTTTTAATGCAAAATCTGCATGAAGATGCAATGCAGCCATGACACATCACTTTAAAGTTTGAAGGCCTGATAATGGCTTACGGTCATTTTCTTAAGGTATGTAACATTAGACATACTGGGACAGTTGAAAGGCCTGTTTTACATGTTACGCTTTGACACAGATTTGGTTCGGTCTGTAAAAAGTAACTCTACACTGAAGATTGTATGGAGAAAAAACATTGTTGTTCTGACCTCGGTTCGAGTTTCAAGTCTTTTGGGTGTGGTGAATTATATTTCTTCAGTTGACTATTACAATTCTGCAACTCAAAACAATAAAAGTAATAAGCTATAGTTTCAATTAGTCTAACAGACATTATCTGGTCTGAGTTTACAACAATTTGCTAAAGCATGCTAGAAAATGCATGGAAGTTGAATTTAATGTAAAGTAATGTGAATATATATATAAATATTTGTTTAATTATGTCCCTTTTTTACAGATGTGCCGTGCACTCTGTTTTTTTTAAATGTTCTATATAAATAATTGATTTGGTTTTATTTGACTGAACCTTTTTCAGTACACAGAAGCAAATTAGTGGTTATATGTGTTTGCATTTGCAAAGAACTTGCTACCAAAGAAAAGGGAGATGCCACACAGAACTGTGATATATGATATAATTCCCAAACGCCTTTTGATTTCTTTGATCATATTTCATCAGTGTCTGTGGCAGTAAAAATCTTGCATGCATTAAACATTCAACATTTTAAGAAAGGTGCTTTTTGCTTTCTAGAAGATTGACATCATTCTCACAGTATGAAACTACCACAAACAGCAGGTTAGCTTAGCTTGGCATAAAGACTGGGAACAGGGGGAAACTGCTAGCTCGGCTTTGTCCAAACATTAAAAAAGCTGCCTACCAGCACCTCTTTTTCAAGTCTTTATGCTACGCTAAGCTCACCAGCTGCTGGCTGTATATATGTATATATATATATATTATTTGGTACTCTACTGTGATAGCTCACCTTCCCTATCCACCACGTCACTAATGTCCGGTAAGCATATATCTGCCTATGACTTCATCAACTATATATACATCCTATATAATAATACTGCAAATCTTTATTGAATACTGAACAAACAGAATCTTATTTGTGGGACACATTAAACCTTTATTATGTTTGTTGTATAATCAAAGTCCAATTATTTCCCCTAAACATCAGTAACTATTGATTAGGTTGTTACACAAGACACAAACTGCCATACACAAGAAAAAATACAGCATATTCAGATATGATGACTTTTCAACACAAGTCTTCAGCTGTGAACAGTCAGTGCTGCTCTACAACATCACCAGATTCAGCCACTGTGGATGAAAACACAAGCACGAGTCAGTGAGTGGTCCATAAACCATTTATATTTCTGTGTCATTACCACATCTCAACTCTTACCTCCATAAAACCCAGTTCTATCTCACCGTCCCCATCCTTGTCCAGGGTATTGAAGGTGTCTGTAAACAATAATAATAAAAACATTGTAACTCCATATAATGTCTGCATGGCTGTAGAATAGAAATATGGTCACAGTGACAAGAACTCACTGAAGAGTGACTCTAAGCGGATAAGGCTGCCCACAAAGTTGTCAAAGTCAATGGTAAGGCTTGGTTCACTGTAGCGGGCCACAATTATCTGATGCAGAGCGTTGTTGAGAGAGAAGCCTGCCAAAATGATGAGGAAAGATTAAGTTAGAGATACTATTTAATGAAATAACAAACCATGAAAATTTAACCAGTATCCTCTAGCCTCTTGTCCCTATAACTCAGGGGTGTCCAAACTTTTCCCCTTGTAGGGCCAAAACTGAAACTTAGTGATGGGCCAAACACAAACATCTGTATTTTCCTGCTACATATTTAAAGAAAAAAAATACCTCGCAACAAATAAAACAGCATAAACAGTGATTTATTTTATACATTTTTTAAATAAATCTTTTCTTCTCTTTTTCTAGAAACATCTGGCGGACCAAATCAAACCTTACGGCTAGCTGACTTTGGCCCACAGGCCCCACTTTGTAACTCTTTATAAGGTAGAGGAGTATAGAGAAATATAATTTGTGAAATAGACTTCTTACCAGCAGCCTCAACAGCCATCCGCATCTCGGAGGCACTCATACAGCCACTTTGGTCTGCGTCTCTCTCTTTGTACAGATCCTAATGGAGAGCCCAACAAGTTAATATGTGCTATCACCATTCTAGTAATAAACTATGTTACACATGGTATGTTAATGTCAATATAAACTAATATCATACCAGGAACTTCTCAATCTTTGTCCACAGGATCTTAAATTCTACCACTCCCAGCTTGCCACTTCCATCTTTCTTTGAAGAGTATGTTAAGGAAGATTGTAACATGCCCTACACAGAGTGGGTAGGTTTGGCCCTTCATCAGACACGACCTCGCTGAATGGTTAACTCATGATGTGCAGCCAAATCTTACTTTAACTCTTACATAGTACATAAAGATCACAATTGTAAATAATTGTCTAGTCTAGATCCACAGATCCTAATAAGATTCTCAAAGATACCAAATATGCAAGGTGGAATTTGGGGGAAAGTATGTATAAAATAAAATTAGAAAACAAACATCATATAGCAATAGGAAATTCTGTATTATGAGGAATAAGATCACTTTTTCAGCCTTAGAGGAATATTTTGAAATTTTGGGAAACTTTTATGTCTGACTACAGTAAGCAGCCAATATAAGTGTAAAAATGACACAATGTGGTTTTATGGGGGGTTATTTATCTGAATATTTCTGAGGACACCTTTACAGAATATGTTCATTATTGCCAGGTAAGATGTTTCTCCTTGTTTTGCTGCTAAGCTAAACTAATCAGCTGCTCTCATCTAACTTTTGGCAAAACCAATAAAATTTCCCTAAAAGGCCCCACTATTCCTTAAAAGCCCTTAAAGAGGCAATAAAAGAGCGAACAAGATGTTGAGCGGTTAATGGTTTTGTGGATTCCTGAGTAAGGATACATCGAGCAGGTTGATCATGTTGCGACAAGTCAGCAAGCTGAACCCATCGGTTTTGATATCATCTCCTGGAAATGAACAAAAACACAAGGATGTATTGCTGTTACATGTACTGAACTTGCCTGAAAGGAGGAGGGGGAAAAAAATGATTTCTCTTACTCTTCGTCACCACTCGGTTGAGGATTCTCTGCAGCTCGAAGGCAGAAATCTCCACATCCTAAGAAACATAATGAAACAAAGATAAGAAGATCATAAGAATGATGATTTGAGAAGATAACGTGTCAAATCGTATGCCTACTTACATGACCAGCTAGCTGTCCAAACAGTCTCTTGAATCTGTCACTGATGTCATCTTCATCAATATCAATCTAGAGATGACAAAGTTTTTAATTATTTGTTGAAATATTAATACCAATATTAACCTTCAAAAGCATAAATATGAAGGGATATGATTTTACCTGCTCAACATGGGATTCTACAGGATCATCAATCTCCCTAAAAGCAACCAGAAGTCATAGTTATATGATTGTTTTGAATGCTACAATCATTAATATTATTTTCTCATTATGAAATTGCAGTTATTTGTGTGTGAAAGGAACATACTGGAAATCAGCCTGTTTCTCAGAGAACACCCGCACATAAAAGTCTCCATTCTTGTTGGGCTCAAAGGTGGAAGGGATGATGAGGTATTCTCCGGGGGGAAGAGAGAAGTGGTTGCACACCTCTCGCAGGTTGATGAAGGTCTCGGAGCGTGCTGCTGAACAGTTGCGCAGGAAGAAGTTTTTCTTCAGGTGCACTTGCCTTTTGCCAGAGTACTGGGAAATGACACACATGCAGGACGGTCACATGAGGGCGCCCTATACCTTCCTTCCTTCTGTCTTCCCACTTTTGTTTTACATTGTACATTTTTAGGAGTGAAAAATTAACAATAATGCAGCAGTTTTTTCTTCCTGTCATTCTTCATGAATAATGGGTGTCTTCGTCTTTGTGTACATACCTCCTCAGGCAGCTGGAAAAAGACAAAAACAATCCAAATGTCAGAATAGGTGCAAATGTTGCATATGCAGTGAGTATTATCTCTTACGTTATCAAACCTAAAGGCAGCTCCTTACCTCATAGATGGCAAAGCCGATGGTCTCCATATCCTGCCCCATTTTCCTCATACGGCGCCTGTTCTTCTGCATCAAGCCCACAATGAAGGTGCAGCCCTCCTCACCATCATCAGGGTCATCATCCACCTCGTCCAGCTTTATGACAAACTGAGGGTTCATCCAGAAGGAATCTAGATAGTGAAGCAAGGGTTAGCAAGGTGCTTGTATGCACTGTATGTTAGTTAATGACACACATTCACCAATGTTGGATTCAAATCTGGAAGGAAGATTTAGCCGTACTTGGATAGTTTCTGCAGCCACCAGCTGACACGCCTCTTCTCCACGTGTCTTCAAACTCTGACTCTGCCCATTTCTTGTACTCATCCCCTGTGAGTGCATCAGGGGTGAGGTTGCAGATCTCAAGGCGAGAATATTGGCGCAAGAAGTCGGAAAACGACATCCTGTGGAGAAATTATTATGAGTGGAACCAAAAAAAAAGTCAAACCTATCACATCTATCCTTCAAATGTTATTTTCCTTTCACTGGAGTATCAGTAAAATATATAGTATATCAGTTTTGGGTGAGGTTTACCAGAACTCCCCATCCTCAGAACGGTTGGTCAGCCTTGCCCGGTCATCACTGCTCACGTATCTCCACTCAGAAGAACTAGAAAAAAAGTGCCAATACATTATTAGTTAGATTGTGTGAGGAAGTTAAAACATGGAAGACATAAAGTACAAGCACGCACCTAATTCGCACCACACACCACCTACACCTCGGGCACCAGAATAAGCTTCCAAACCAGAGTCTGTGTAACAACTTTTTCACTACAGGATTTACCAGCCATTCCACTGGGTGTGTCTGTATATGTTACATGCATGAAAGAGACACATACACACAATACCCTCGTCCAAACAAAGGCTTGATGATGGTATCGTGTGGATGTCTTTAAGGCTGGGTCCTCTTATGAACAACACAAGAGGCGTAAATGGGAAAGCCCAGTTATAAGCAGCAGTTGAAAGCAGTTGGCTGATCAGTTAACAGTGTCAGTTGTCACTTGTCATAACTAAAACCTGGAGATTATAACAAACCATACTTGTGATGTGAGAGCTCCAGAGCTCAGTATTGTAGGGAGTTAAACCACATATTGGACAGGTTAAATTTCAGTAAAGGCTAAACACACAAAGAGGAAGTTGGAATTACTTAATAGTGTACCATGCTCGTGTCTATTTACTAGCATGCCGGCATTTAGTAATTAGTACCAAACACAAGCTGAGGCCAATGTGAATGCCATTGGTTTTTGGTCCTCAAACAAAGTATAATATTCGACAAATTGAAATGTTTAACCCGATGACGCAAGAGGAAACGTTCAAAGATACAATTCATCCTGAGGGGATCATGAATGTTGGGATCGTCAAAGTTATTAGTATACATCATCTAGGAATCATCAATGTATTCATAAAAATCCACCCTTTAGATCTTTAGTCTGAATAAGTGAAAACTTTAACCTGCTAATGGTGCTACATGTCAAGTCACCAAAGGCTCCATCTTCTGAGGACCATGAATTGACAATCCACCCAGTGGTTGCTAAGATGTTTCAGCCTGGACCAAAGCAGTGAACCTACCAACCTATGGATCCCTGTGCTGCTAGTGTGGCTCAACTAGTAAACTAGAGTATACTCTGGAATAGCTGGCAATGATAACCGTTAGAGCTCATTACTCAAAGGTAATATGAGCATTTTCATTGAATTTCTCCTCAGAAGTGCACAATACTCACTTGTCGCTCCAGGCTCCATTCCACTCCACCTGACCCCACGGGTTTCTTATCCTGATTAGTTGCACCGTGTCTCCTCTGTAATCCACCTGACACAGAATAAGGTGTCAATTACTTTTAGCCAGACAAAGGAAGATTTTATGGGGATTTATGGGGGATTATATAGCAAATAAATCAGTTGTATGTTATATGTTGTAAATTGTATCTGTTACAGTACAAGACACACATGGTAGCCACTGCAGCTTCACTTGTACCTGGATCATCTGTGTAGTAAACACACACACAAATATTTCCTCACCTTGTCCGCTCCTGTCACAGAGTAAGCATGGCCCTTCACCAGCTTGCGATAGGTGACTGCTTCTGAGTCGGCCGAGCTGGTAATCTGGGAGGGAGAGCAAAAAACTTGTGAGGTAAAAACTACCAAATAGCACAAGTATACCAACCATATACAAGAGAGTGAAACAAAGAGCTCAAACATACATTAATGGAGCATCCCAGAAGGGAGCCTCTCTCCAAGGCCTTCTTAATGATTTTGAAGAGGCGGGGATCTGCGTTTTTCAGGTCATGGCTCTCAGCAATGCCTCCAGTGAAGTCCTCAAAACCCTCAGTGGTGCTGCCTCCAGAAAGAGCCTCGTAGCATCCATTTATCCTAAAGGGAAATGAGTTCATAAATAGCTACACAAGAATAAAAGATACTGAAACAGAAGGTATCCAGATGTTTCATTCTTCCATACTTGGCATAGGCCTTCTCCAGCAGCGCACTCCAAAACTCTGAACCCTCTGCTGAGTGAACAAACAGCAGCTCGCCATCTCTGGTAGGCAAGCGGTCATCAACCACCACATCCACCCACTCACCAAACTGCCAGAACTGAGAGCCAGGGACGCAATTAGTCAAATCAAACCTGCCACTTTAGCTCAAAAGAATGATATTGTAGTGTGTGTGTGTGGTGTGTGTGTGTGTGTGTGTGTGTGTGTGTGTGTGTGTGTCAAAGTATTGTACCTCAAAGTGAAAGATGCCCGCATAGTTCTCCTCAAAGCTTTGATCATGGGGGACAACACGCGTCAGAACCTGTTTGTTGAGAGTCAAGGATGCGATGGCTGCCAGGAGCCAGCAGTCACCTGAGCACAACAATATAGGGAAGTCCTGTTTGAAATCTTATGTAACAGCCAGACGATTTCAGGTTCTCACATGTCAGTTTAATTTTGGCATTATGACACGTCTCAACATACGAGGCATGCAGTCCGCACACACACCTCAATTGTGCAAAGTCATGGCTATTGTCTCATCTCTCACTGCCTGTCAGCTGCAGCGGCAGCTCAGTCTCTACCACATATACGTTCATTCTGCCAGACAGGGTGTAGACCCTGAAGGAGTTGTTGCAAGATGTTTTGTACACAGCTGATGTCAGTGCACAGGCATTTACCAGGAGTTATGAGGTTTGGATTTTATTTCAGTGGTATGAGGTTACAAAAGCACTGGCAAAAGACAGCTTCCAGATATGAAACCAAGCAGGATAATATTTGAATGCACAGTGTGATACTTTATTTAGATCTGCAGACCCATGACAGTCAAAGATAAGCATGCAAAAATAATTTATTCAAATGGTTGACGATAGAAATATTATGTGTTCTTTGTAAAATACTGTAAATATCTAATTGTGCCATCAAAATGCATTTGAATGTGACTCGTTAGGGAAATAACAGTAGGACTGTTTAAACAGGTGATTAATATACATTGTTGGAAGAATGTAGGAATTTGTGTGTGTGTGTCTCTTACCGAGCGCTCCTTGACAAATATCCGTCCTGGTGGCGTTTTCAACTATGAATTGTGGATTGGAACACAATTCCTTAGAGAAAAAAAAGAGTAAAAATTGAGAGAAATTGTAATGCTTTCTCACATCAGCACTCTGTAGTTGGCCTTTAATAGTGTATCCACCCTCATTTGGATAATTATGTTTTGCTGGATATAAAAAAATTCATATATACTGTATGAATGGTGGCTCTTTGTGTCCTGATGCACTGTAGTTAAACAATTACCACTTTACATTCAGAATCAATGCAAACACTTTGAATCACACACATACTTAGTTTATAATATTGCAAACATTACAAAGACAGCTCCAGTTTTCATTTTTTTAATCTTTTAAAGCCAAATATTGACAAGCTGTCAGTGTTTCACAATAAGAAACAGCATATTGGCTGATACAATCTAGATACAATCTAGTTTAGTTTAGTTTGTGGCTAAGCAGAGACAAAAAAACTATCCACAAATATGCATTAAGTTGTCAAAGCAAATACAGAAAATACAATCTGCGATTTCCAGTTTTAAAAAGATTTTAATCTTTTGGACTAATATAGCCCAGGGGTTGTATTTCAAGCATGCAAAATAACTGCAGCCACATGCCACCTACTTTCAGCAGATGTTTCCATCTACCTACTGCACCCACCTTTGGTCTTTTCCAGGTAATGCCCCGAACTTTGTGGGAGTTTGGTCCAAGTTCATTGAAGCCTAAGGATGAGGGCAGAGGCTCAAAGCAGTCATCCTCAAATAGCCGGCCTCGATCCAGACAGCTTGCCCTCAGCGATTCATAGTCCTGATTCAGATATTTCACAGCATTGTAGTTGGATCCAATCCCATGTGCTTTCTCTCGGTTGTGCTGAAGTTTAGCTGCTATGCCGGACATTTTAAAAGACTGCAAAGCTTTCTGTCTCTCTACGACTGTCTCCTCGTATGTGTGTGTGGTTAGACAGGCTCTGTGTCATATATGCAGCTCAACTGTCTCCACACCCTTTATTGTTCTTACCAGACTTGCTCTAGCTCACCTGTTTCATCCAGCCTACTCTGCATCTGGCTTTGACTGATGGCCCATGATCGGCCCAGATGTGGCCCACATGGATGGATAGGTACCAATTTGATCAGTATATCAAATACAGTATAATTTGGCCCTGCTAAACACCACAGTTACTATAATTGCATTAATAATAACAGTGAACAGTGAAAACAACTGTATGAATACTTCATCTGACATATCTCAGACTATTTTGACCATTTAATGTCAGTTATCTGTGCAAGATTTTATGAATATTGATAGTCCAGAGGCCATAGTTTCTTAGTTTCTTTATTTTCTATTCTTTGACAGAAATTTTGCAACAGTTAAAAAAACCAAAGCACCAATTAGACAAATGTTTCTACTGCACAAAAAAAAACAATATGTGAGTGATATAAAATACCTCTAAACATTTGGATAAATGTTTTTTCCATGTATATGTTCAGCGAATATCATTATCATATCCTATCAATACATTTTAGTCATTTTTAAGCAGGAATATAGTGTATAATGAAATTAATCATTTGTTAATTGATGCTTCCTCTTCCAGCAGATATCACAAAGAGGTGATTTTCTGTCTTGTCTCCAGAGTTAGTAGATAGCCAGGCACAGCCACTGTAACAGGAAACAAAATTATAGCACACACTGTTGAAGCTGAAATTGCTGACAAAAACCAGCAGGTTTTTTTGCTATTATCTCACACACCTGTTGAATATCCAGCTCAATCTTCCCTGAGTCAGGGTTTTCCAGAGACTTAAACATTTCTGGTTGAGAGGCAGAAAAAAGATACTGGTACTGTAAACAAACGTAGCTCTCATACAGAGTTCATACAGATCAATATGAAATATACTGAAAAGTGATATTGTTGTGTTTGCTGACACTTACTGAAGAGCATTTCCAGTTTAATGAGACAGCCTACAAAACTGTCAAAGTCTATAGCATACTGAGCATCAGCATAACGACTGACAATGGCCTGCAGCACAGCGATGTTGATGTTGAAGCCTGGGGAAGAAAATAGTCACCTTTTAGCTTGTGGGGTCAGTTTCAGACATGCAGATTATTTTTCTGATCCTGAATGATCCTAGTTATGTTACACAGCCTCACCCATGCTTGTTTTGTTCATGTGGTAAAGTATACATACATGGCATTTATTTGCAGGTAGGAAGTCCTCTAACTGGCTTATCCAGTCTGCCAGTAACTGCCTGCTCATGTTACCCACACACAAACAACATCCTACAGTGTTATTAGGTTGGATACAATCCAGATAAATAAGCAAAATACTGTGTTTACATAGCATCACAGTTGGCATGCTTATTTGTATGTCAACTATAGGCATACTCTGTTCAATGATAACCAGTCTGTGGGCAATATACCTTAATAGCTAATTTAGATTCTTATCAAAATAACTAATATTCTTCCTGAATTGACAAGCTATTAATTAAAGTAGTCTTGTTAATTATAGTCAGTGAATTGTGTGAAAGAACAACAGCCTCTGGTGGGGTGTTAGCTTTGCAGCAAAGCATATCAGAAGCTGTAAGGTAATGATAAAAAATAAATGATTTGTCTTTTAGAATATGTTAACGACGAGGCTGACATAAATGAAAAGTTTTAGTGTTAAAGAGTTTTATTCCTGGATTTAACTTTAAGAGATTCTTCATGTCATTGTGTTTGTTACCTGCTTCAGTGGCGGCGCATCTCATCTCGTGGGAGCTCATGGTGCCAGAGTTGTCTGAGTCATGATTCTTGAAGATCTCCTATATGACCCAGGCATCCATTTGTTGTGTTAACAGATACAGCCAGGTGTTCCAACATGATCAAATCTAATTTTAAAACCACATACAACCTACCAGGTATTTCTGGATTTTGTTCCAGAGCAAGTGGAATTCCATCAGTCCCAACTTGGCACTTTCATCTTTCTGGAAAATGTTAAGTTTTATAAAAAGATCAAAGTGGAAAGTACTTTATCAATAATTTAACCAACCAAGCACATGTCTTAATTACACAGTTATAATAAGGGGTGAGAGTTTACTCATCTATGTTAAGATCAACTGTATCAATTAGGTGAAACCACAGTTTACCTAGCTCTGTCTTTGCCACTACACCCCTGGCTATGCACCTAAAAAACTGTGGCAGAACAATTTCCTTTAAAGAGGATACATCCAGCAGACTGACAATAAGGCGACCCGTCTCGAGGCTGAAGCCATCTGTCTTGATATCAGCCCCTGCAGGAGAGTGACAAACCACAGAAAGTCTTAAGTCACTGAAAATATAAAGGCTGCACTTCAATGTATGTAGGAGATTGATGTACTCACGGTGAGAGACAATGTTGTTCAAAATTGTAACCAGTTCAAAGACTGATACCTCCATGTCCTGTTTGAAAAATGCATATTATAACGTGAATTTTAATTTGTAATCCAGGTTTAGAGCTGTTTATGGATCTCATTTACTGTCAGCTCTCATGTTGCTTTACTCACATCGCCTGCAATCTGCTTGAAGATTTTCTTGAAATGAGGATCCACATCACTCTCAGATACCTCCTCCTGTGAGAGAAAGACTGTGTCACTATTATCAAATAAAAGCACTGGCTCATCATATTTTAGGCAATGTCAGTACTAAGAACTCTTTAAAAAAGTGACAAACCATTTCTTATTAACGCATGCAAGCTTATCATTCTGTGAATTTTCTTACCTCCTCTATTTTAGCATCAATGTCCTCCTTCAGTGGACTTAAAAAATAGAAATGCACAGCTTGAGCACATTCTTGGCATTTACAGTAGATATTGACTGAATTCAAGAGTAAAAAAGGCACTGGCTTCTGGATATAGATGGCTGTATAAGCTACATTATCATTCTGTATGTTACTGTAACAGAGATACCTGGTTGCAGCCTGTTTCTCTGAGAACACCCTGAGAATGAAGCTGCCATTCTTGTGAGGTTGGAAGGTCGAGGGAATTATGGCGTATTCTCCTGGGGGAAGTTTGAAGCGGTCGCACACTTCACGTGTGTTGATGAAGGTGCTGGACATGGCCACAGCTCTCTGTCGCAGCAGGACATCGGGACCCAGGTGAACATTGCTGCGGCCTTTGTACTGAAGATTAACAACAATTGCAATGTCAGACAAACAGCTAGCCAGAAATTCACAATGCAATCAAGCAATTTTTAGTAAGTGATCATGAAACTGGAGCATTTAACAGTACAAATACAGACCTCATCTGGGACCTGTAAAAAGGAAAGAGACAAAGTATGTTAGAAAATTATTTATTTACAGTAAATAAAAGGTAAAAGTGAAATACTGAGATTTCAAATGTAATATCAGATAATTCTGAGACACCTCATAAATGGCAAATCCAATAGTCTCCAAGTTGCGGTCCAGCCTCTTCTGTCTTCGTCCATCCTTTTGCATCAGTCCCACCAGAAAAGTGCAACCATCCTCCCCATTCAGAGGATCATCATCCACATCCTCCAGACGCACCACAAACTGAGGGTTGGACGAGAATGTGGCTGGAACACAGAAAGGTGTAATCCTTTATTTGAAGTAGTGTAACAGAACTTCTTGCTCAGACATACGTATGGTTTCTCTGCTACCTGGGTTATTGCGGCAGCCGCCGGCAGTAGAGCCAACCCTCCACATCCCATCAAACTGGTAGTTATTCCAGTGGCCCACATCATCACTCATGAGTGTGTCTGGGGTCAAGTTACAGATCTCCAGCTTGGAGAACTGCCTGATGAAGTCTGAATAGGACATCCTGAACAGAGGAACACAAACTTAATAGTTACTTTGGTGATGTAGTACAGCATCAACAAAGTAGCTAAAATATTACATTTGTTGTGCTATAATTGAAATGTTAAGCACAATGGATTTACCAGAACTCTCCATCTTCAGACACATGGTTCAACTTTGATTTCTCATCTTTACTGACGTAGTTCCATTCACTGGATCTAATTTTGAAAAAAAAATCATGCTTTTAGGAAAATCCAGGAAGTAATCAATGGTTAATGGGTCTATAATGTAATTATTTACCCATCACTCCACGCCCCAGTCCACTCCACTTGACCCCATGGGTTCCTGACGCGGACCAGCTGAACTGACCTGCCTCGAAAATTAACCTGGGAGAGAGAGCATCAGTGGGCAATGTGATTTTCATGCAATAATAAGACAGAAAACAAAAACAAACTGTCAACAGTTGAGATGAATTGTGTACCTCTTCTGCGCCAGTGACTGAGTATGCATGTCCTTTGACAAGTTTGAGAGCTGTCACTGCCTCTGTCTCGTAGGCACTGGTGATCTGAAAAGCCCCAAGAACAAGCATTTCAATTTCGTGACATCAGTGCTGTTACATATTTGTTTGCATGCAAATCGACATGAAAATAAGACTTACATCAATGGAGCAACCCAGCAGTGAACCCAGGTACAGGGCCCTCTGCATGATTTGGAAGAGGTTTGGTGGAGCCTTGTCTAAAGAGTAAACCTCTGCGATTCCTCCTGTGAAATCCTCAAAGCCCTCAATAGTGTTTCCTCCTGACAGGGCCTCATAGCAGCCATACACCCTGTCAGGCACAAAGGGATGTGATCAGATTCACCAGTTATATATTGTATGTTTTAATGAAGCAAAAGGTATGAGAAGAATGATCCATACTTAGCATAGGCCTTCTCCATCAGCGCGCTCCAAAACTCTGAGCCCTCTGCTGAGTGGACAAACAGCAGCTTTCCATCTCTGGTGGGCAAACGGTCATCGACCACCACGTCCACCCACTCACCAAATTGCCAGAACTGAGAACAAAATACTCTAGTCAGTAAATTCAAATACTTAGGCACAAGATACTTGCTTTCACAAAGGGGGAAGTACTGATCAGCTTTGTAGGAGAACAAGCAGAACATATTTTG